GGTTGGGATTGAGGGGTCGTGGGGAGCGCTGGGCTGGGCTGGCAGGGGGCTGTGGGTTGGGATTGAGGGGTCTGGGGGAGCCCTGGGCTGGGCTGGCAGGGGCTGCGGGTCGGGACTGAGGGGCGCTGGCAGAGCTGTTACAATGGGGCAGGGGATGGCCACCCACTACCTGAGCGTTAGCCCCAGTTAGAGCCAGGCACAAATAAAAACCCACCCACAAAGCAATCTCCGGACTCCCCCAGCCCCATCATTCCCAGTCCAGCTCTCCCAAGGGGGTTCTCTGGGGAGGCCTATCTCAGCCCACTCTCTCCCCAGACTACGAGAAGATGTTTGGCACAAAATGCCGTGGCTGTGACTTCAAGATTGATGCTGGTGACCGGTTCCTGGAGGCGCTGGGATTCAGCTGGCATGACACCTGCTTCGTCTGTGCGGTAAGAGCAGCCCGGCAGCCCCTCCCTATTGCTCACCCTGAGATAATAGGGCTGTCCCCTGCCTGGGGGGGCTCCTCACCCTGCACCAACCTCTTTGCTGGCGGTGGCATGAGCAGGATTGGCTGCACCTGCTTCTTGTGCTGAGCTGGCCTGTGTTGGGGGTAGCTCCAGCTGCCCTGTGCCGCCCCCCTTCCCCCGAGGGCTGTGGCAGGTCTCTGCCAGGTGTGGGGAGGGAAGGGTGTGGATGGGGGTGTTGGGGAGGGAGAGCTGGTCTTTCTCTGTTGACCTCCTGCTCTCTCCTTAGATCTGCCAGGTCAGCCTGGAAGGGAAGACGTTCTACTCCAAGAAGGACAAACCCCTCTGCAAGAGCCATGCCTTCTCCCATGTTTAAGGGGAGGCTCCCGCTGCCACACTGCACACGTTGGCCCTGCACACACCTGTCTCTGCCCCTTCTCTTGCTCCATGGAGCCCCAGGGAGCAGGGGCTGGAGCTGCCACTCCCTCTACTGCTTCTGGCCTGGGCAGCGCCCTGCTCTGGCCTGCCTGGGCGCCAAAGTAGAGCCTGCTGTTCTCTTGCCCCTCAGTGGCCGGTCTTCTGTCTGGACTATCTTCTCTACCCCTCTGGTGTCTCACCTGGGCCCGCAGGGGGACCAGGCAGTGCTGGGGCCACCTGTCCCCTCCCTTCTGTACCCACAGCCAATGGAGCCAGGCACCTCCCCTGGGGGCTGGACCTGTCCCATGCTGAGCCCAAGAGTGGGAGAGGCTTGCTGGAGCAGGGCTGCTCTGACCTTACAGATCCACCCTCTTCCCTCCCCCCCCCGCCCCACGTGGGACTGGTGCCTCTCACCTGGCCAGGCTGCTAGCTGGCTGGAAGCTATGGGGTGGGTGCGGGGGATCCTGTAGGGCTGCTCTGTTCCCCTTTATCAGGGGCCCTGGCCTTGCTGCAAGCCCCCAGGCTCGCTGTGCAGGAAGCACTTGCTTCATGGGCAGGGCACACTTACAGTCCCGGAGCCCAGGCCTGCCTGGTGCCTGCTCTTGGCTGTCCTGCAAGGAGCTAGTCCACCCCAGCCACATAGCTGCACTCAATACTACTGGCCTTGTTCCCTGCCACCACGCAGCTGCTATCCTACCTGGCCTACACACCAGGCCTGGCCCCACAGCCCCCCGAGGGCTGCTGAGAGGTGGGGTGGGTCTGGCCCTGTGCTGTCTGGTGCCCCTGCACACAGGCTTTTCCTGGCTCCCGGCCCTGCAGTGTCCCCAGGCGTGGCAGTAGCAGACTTGCTGCCCCTGTGGGACTGACCTGGACTTTGCAAACACGGAGGTGAGGGGGAAGCTGAACCCCGTGGGGAAGAGGAAGCCCCTCACCCTGCCTACAGAAGCTGCTACTTCACGGGTGGGGCTGTGGGGCAAGGAGCTGAGCCCTCTGTGAAGCCGGCAGCGACAGGCCAGGACCTAGGAAATGCCTTTGCTGGCAGCCTCACCCAGAGCTGCCCTGCCTGCAGGGGGCAGTACGTGGTGTAGCCACAGTGCTTTTAGTGCCTTAATAAACACTATCTAGCAAGCGTCAGCTGCCCTGGAGCCTGTGGTTCTTGCAGAGCATGGGGCAGGGCCCGTGTGCCTTGGAGTCCTTCCCCAAGCCATCGGCTTTCCTGGGGGAAATTGCCCCCCATCTTCCCAGCTGCCTTGTCCCGAGCTGGGCAGGACCTACGCCCTCTTCTGGGCATGAGATGCTGCAGGGGAGGACAATCCCCCACGGCTGCGCCTGAGTCCAGGAGGTGTCTGCCACCAGGGCCTCGGGAAAGCACCTGGCCGTGGCTCTGAGCCAAACAAATCCAGGCTGTCGGCGGCCCTTCACCCAGCAGCTCCCCCAGGGCGCAGAGGAGGGGACAGGCCCCAGCGGAGTGTGACGAGCAGTTCACTAAAGGGGTTAATCCAAGATGTCTGCCTGGGCAGCAGCGAGGGAAGGGGGCTGCTGGTTCCCCAAGGAGCAATTCAGGCTGTAGCTGAGACGCTGAATGATTCCTTTGCGTGAGTCGGCCCCCCTGAGGATGGTGGAGACACCTCCCTCCCACCTGCTCTTTCCTGGCAGCAAAGGGGAGGCACCAGCAGCGAGCGAGGGGTCGGACAAAGAGAGGCCGGAACAAACCGATCATTTAAAATGTACTAAGTCATCAGGCCCCTGTGGCTGGGTCAAACCAAGGGTTCAGCGCGCGTAAGCGTGAATTAGCAGAGCTGGTGCTCCCGGACCCAGGGAACTGCTGTAAGAACAGCTCCGGACTGGAGGGTAGTAAATGTATCCAGACATCAGCCAGGTTCAGAGGGGAATGGGGCTGGCTGACCAGTAAGCCGTAGCTCTGGGCCTAGCGAAGGGCTTGGACTGAGGATTAATAATCGAATACCTGGTAGGTCGTGCTATGACCGGGTCTAGCCAGCAGGGGTTCTGTAAAGGAAAACTTGCTAATCTATGAGGATTTTTTGGCTGTGGTGACACTAGTAGATGATGGGGAATCAGCTGATGTAATTATTGAGATTTCAAAGACCTTTGGCAAAGTCCCAGGCGAGGAGCAAAGTGTTATGTATTGTTATGGAGCAAAGACTGGCCTGGAGACAGACAGCCAAGAACAAGGGGAGACAGTTCACATTCTAGCAAAAGGTCAGAAGTGGGGCCTGGAGCTTCCTGACTAGGTTGGGTCCTAGATTTGCTAATGAGCTGTGTTAAGGTTCCCCACTCTGACACTTGGAGGGCAGAAGGTGAGGGCCCGCAAGGACTCTACAAATTAATACTGGCCACTCCAGGCTTGTATTAAACTCCCAAGGATACAGCTTCTCTCTGACCTTGGACTGGTAGATGCTGCCACCACCCAAATGCAAAACCCCTTTGAGAGCCCAGGAAGGTGCACTTGGGAATTCCTTCCTGTGGGGTACCCTCAAGCCCTTCCATCCCCCCCCCGCCCCCCCCCGGGGAAGAGCTGAGAAAGCTAATTCCCCCTGGGAACTTAGGCACTTGCTAGATTTGGGGGTTGGGGGAACCCTCCAAGGATTAAGCATCCAGAATAGATTTCTTAAGGTGCAGTTTAAAGATTACAGGCAAAATAAAAGCACCTGGGTTTAGCACAGAGGAGTCCACAAGCCATAAAGAAATAAAAGGGGTAAATCTAATCACGTCTTCCTAACATTTTCTGATCTACTTACATATCTGGGGTTTCAAATGTGTAGTTTCTAGGTATGATACTGATGATTTTTCATACGTGGCCCAAGCTTCTCACAGCATAGCTCTGTCCTGTCCGTCTCTCCCCGGAGCACCACCACAGACAGACAAAAGGGGAGTCTTCTTTCAATTTTCAAAAGTTCTAGCCTTCCCATTGGCTCTTTTGGCCAGGTGCCCACTCACTTCCTTTTACCTAGGCACAACAGTGAGACTTTTTAACCCTTTACAGGTAAGGCAATTAGAGAACAGCTCCTAAGAGGGATTTTATAGCTACTGGCTGGCTGGGTGTCCATAAAAGGGAGCTCCGCCCCCTTCATTTATCACAAGCTGGAAAGGGGGTGAGCAGACAGCTAGCAACATTTGCATTAACACAATTATTCAGAGAAGATTAAGGAACTTCAGCAAGCCCTGACCAGGCCTGGGGAATGGGTCACATGATGGAAAATTAAGCTCAATGCTGAAAAAGGGAAATAATGCACCTTGGAAGGAAAAATTTGAACTGCTCAGCTGGCTTATAGGGGTCTGAGTTAGCTCTCCGCTCGGAGAGGGACCCTGGGCATCACTGCTGATAGCTCAGTGGAGACCCCTGCTCAACGTGATGCTGTGAGTAAAAGCACAAATTGGGCTGGGTAAAGAATGGGCTGGAGACTAATCTGGAAAGTATAATGCTGCTCTGTAAATCGCTGCCCCACTGCAGCGGGCTGGTGTGGTCAGTACTGGTCGGCCCAGCTCCAGCAGGACCTGCAGTCCCGGAGGAGGGGCAGAGAACAGTGACACGACTGAGCTGGGCTCTGGAGAACTCTTTTCTGAAGTGAGAGTGACAAGATTGGGACTGTCTGCCGGCAGTGGCCAGTGCCAGGTGCTTCGGGGGACTGAACAGGACAATCTTCAAGTGATCTCCACTCCCAGCTGCTGGCAATCAGAGCATGGGGCTGCATCCCTGCCCATCTGGCCTAATAGCCCTTGATGGACCCGTCCTCCATGAACGTGTCTCGTTACAGCTCCACCTTCACATGCCCTGGCAGTGAGTTCCACAGGTCGTGTGCGCGTTGCGTGCTGCTCCCTAGCAGGACGCAGCAGCCCGGCAAGGTGGGCCTGGCCCCTGTTGATTTGCTTACTGCTGGCTGGGCAAATGTCAGCATTCCCCATTTCACTGCTCCCCATGTGAGCGGAGCCACAAGTGGTACAGGGGGCAGAGCTCTCTGGCAAGGCCAGGGGCTACCGCTCAAAGTGCTGCAGAGCCAGCAAGCTTTGGCATGAGGGGGGAGCTTGGGGGTGGGCGGAGCCGGGACTGGGACCCTGCCCAGTCCAGCTGCCTTGAGAGAACAAAGCTCCCAAAGGCTGAACTCTCCAGCGGCATCCGCACGACGGGCCCAGAGCAGCCTGCAAGCGGCACCGGGCGAGGTGGCAGCTGCCCAGACCCTACCCAGCAGCTGTGGGCAGGAGCCTGCGTCAGCTCAGGAAAGGCTGGTGTGCAGGGACATTTGGAGAGGCGCTGGAGCTGGAGTCCAGGCAGGACCCAGAGCCCTTCCTGCCTCTGGCGGAGAGCACCAGGGGGCTTTAACAGGCGGGAGTCCCTCACCATTGCATTTGATCTGACGCATGGTGCTGGGCCAGTGGGGTCAGCAGCACTGACCACAGGGACGAGTGCCCCCTGCAGGGCTGCACCCTGGTACCACGCTGGGGCATTGGAGTCGGTGCTGGCTGCAGGAACGCGTCCCCCCCCCCCCCCGGAGCCCCCTGCAGCACCATTGTAAGCGTTCCTTGGGTGGTGACTTCCTTAGGTCCCGTCTGATTCCCAGCTCGTGCCATCGGCTCTCGGGTGAGCTCAGGGCTGGGTGAGGGGGCGGCACGGCCAGGAGGCGAGCGTGAGTGACAGAGGAGGGGCCTGGACAGCAGATTCCCTGCCGAGGAAGATGCTAAGACCAGTTCCTGGCTCTAACGGTGCCAGTGGCTGGGGCAGGCTCCTGGGGGAAGGTCCCAGGCAGTGGGACGCGGCAGGAGTCTGTGGAATTGCAGGAGCAGGGCCCAATGGGTCGTGCGCCCAGTTAGCAGAGCCTGAGGATGGCTAATGCTTGGGAGGAGGCCCCAAGCTGCAGCTAAGAGCGGGCCCTTGGTGGGGGATGTTGCCTGCCTACGTGCTCATGTGCAGGTCACCGGGGGGCTGCTGTTTTCCAGGGGGCTGAGATCTGGGGCACGGCCATTGGCTGCCTTCTAGCAGCTTCCCGCACCTGTAGGCTCCAGCCTTTCCTTTGGGAACGCTGGTCAGGAGCCAATGGAGCTGGGAGCAGCACTTCATTTGTGGCAGGGCTGAGCCCTGGCGCCCCCGGGCCTGGCAGGGCTGATACAGTGACCAGGTGTCCTGATTGGATAGGGCAGCCCCGATGGTTGGGCCTTTTTCTTATATAGGCTCCTATTCCCCCCACCCCCGTCCCGATTTCTCACAGTTGCTGTCTGGTCCCCCGAAGGGCTGAGCCCCGGCGCCCCTGGGCCTGGCCCGTGAGTTGGGAATGTAAAAAACCAGCTTGAGCTCTGACCACACTGTCATTACAAATTAAGCCCTGGCTGGGGGTATGAAACCAACTGTGCGGTGGAACAGGTCTGGACCAGCAGGGACCCTGGTGCCCGTCTGAGGCCAGCCAGGGAGCCCTGCCGGGCAGCTGAAGTCCAGAGTTCATTTTCGCGGCCAGAGCATGGTGCTGGAGACTGCGTGGGCTCC